AAGTGTAAATAAGGATGAAAATGATTAAAACGAATAATTGATAATTTGAAATAGGAAAAGGTCCAAAGGTGGAGGGGTGGTGGGAGGGGAAGGGGAAAGGGAAGAAAGGAAAGGAAAAAGTGTGAGAAAGGAAAAAAAAAGGAAACAAAGTCTATGTAAATAGGAAGGGTGGTGGGGGTGAAGGGTGCATAGGTAATGGGGAAAAAATTAAGAACCAAGATACATCATGTTCAGGTACAAACACCCAATGATAAATATAAATGTATTGTATACCTAAAATGTACCAATTAATATATAAAAAAATGTGTTATGCTCTGCTCCTTGGGAGGAGATCTCATTAGGGAAATGCATCATAATGAAGGTGTGGTGAAGTTAGGGTCAGTTTTGGGCCAGACCTGTAGCCATTTTGCCTTGCATCCATCTCATCCAGTGTTTCTGTGCCTCTCACCTTTTATCTCAAGGACTACAGCAGCTTGCTCACATAAAACGGACAGCCTGATTTACTTTCCCTCCTTGTCACCAAAAGTTGCAGCTGCCTGCTTTTTTCCCTCTCACATTGCCACTTCGAAGTCCTGCCAATGTTCCATCTCATCCAGATCTGATTTTTGTGCTTTGTTTTTGCAGTGCTGTGGATCTAACCCAGTACCAACTATCTATTGATCCCTCCTGAGGTTCTTCAACCTTCCTCCCTCTTCTCCCAGTGGGACAGATGAAAGGACAATGCACGTGGACTCAAAGCCTTTCTTTGTCAACTTGCAGTCTTGTCTACCTTTAGTGGGGATCCAGACACTTACTACTTTGAATTTGTCTTCGACCTGGTAAGTGACAACATCTCTTAAGGACAAGGTTTGGCCCTGAAAGCAAAAACTGAAATTGAGAATCTACCTTCTAATACATGTACCTCTGTGCATTTCTGATGTTGTCGGCAACAAGGAGGGGCTGTTTTGATTAGGGGATCCTGAAAGCATTACAAGAAGAGGAATCCTTTCTAATGCTTACAAGATGATTTATATACATATCTGCAACAGTCCCCAAGTTCTCTTTTTAAGAATCAAAGTGTTCCAAAGTTTTACATTGCCAAGTTCCTTTTATTTCAGTTTGAAAGTGATTAAAGATATTTGACTGAACCAGAAAACCTAAAGTCAGCACTACTTTTATTGTAGCAGCAATGAAATCAATCCCAGAGGGACTTTAGGCACATAAGAAAAGAATTTGGGACCCCCTTCCATTAACCCATTTTCCTTTCTCTTAACAAAACACCTCCCCCTACATAAACAAAATAGCATGAATGTGGCAGAAAATGCATCTGAAGGAGCATAGGACCTCAGTGTAAGAAAGCAGACCTCTCTGGTTTAATGACCAGGCAAGAGTTTTCAAGACAGCCTCTTTTGGAGAAAGACCAGACACTGATTCCTTCCAACATTTGGCATCCCATTTTTGAACCACAGGAACTTTGATTTCTTGGTAGTTTTGGAAAATATGCTGGGTGGCTGAAATTATTTTAATTTGTACTTCATTCCACTAATGCAATTGGCCTTTATCCTGATATATTAACAGCTCAAAAGTTAAAGGGCTAATGAATCCATAACCAGAGAAAACAGGAACATTCAGATCTTGCCTTGCAATGTTTTTATGCAGAGGAAAAAGTGGAGGATAAACAAGGGGGCAGTAATTCTTTGGCTCCGAGAAAGGTTTCATGTGACAGTCCCTGTCTCCACATAATGGTTATCCAGGAAATAGACCAAAACTGATTGCCCCTATTGACCCTTGTGATGACATCAAGAAAATATCACGTAGTGTCACTTCCAAGTTCTCCCGTGTTTGCATCTTTACCTTCACCCACATATACACCTATATCTGCAGGCCCTCCTCTCATGCTAAAGGAATGATTGATCCACTAAATGAAGGAGCATATCAGAAATGAATTCAGCTTTGGAGGAGCACTTCTGAGTGAAAGAATGAGCAAGTGCTTAGGGAAAAACACAACCTGATCCACCATTTGTCATGGATGCTTCTCTCTCTGTCAAGTGGACTCAGTTCTCTAGGTCTTAAAGGATAATAAATAAATTTGGCTCACATATTTCTCCAAAGTGGTGTCAAGTTCACTCTACTACTCCAATAGAGATTTCAACTAATCTGTGTTTTAAGCAGGATGGGAATTGCCACCTTCCTGAGAATATTGGGGTAAATATGAAAAGGAAGAAGTTGGTGATGTGTGTGAGGAAGGTAACAGAAGAATTGGGATGGTCTGATCCTTTAGGTTCTCTGACTGATGTCTTATATCACATGCAATCACTCAAACATTATTTTTCCATGGGATCAGAGCCTTTGATTTGATAGAGGTATTGACCCAGAAATCAACTATTGCCCCCAATTGCTGTTTGTGACCTGTGTTTGTTAATGGGTGTGTGTGGTCTTAGAATGCTTCAGGCTGCAGTAGTCCTTAGCTCAGTTCTGTGGAGAGACATTATCTGCTGCACTTTTGCTCCAGTGAGAATATAGGGACTATTAAATGGTGAGAGAATGAGAGAGAGAAAAGTGATCACCCAAAGGCCTGCAGAAATGGTGAGACTCCATTGAAATACACATTCTCCTGTGCACATGTGCCTGGTAACCACAGGAGCTATATTTCTTCAAAAGGCAAAGGTCCCTGAGGTGCTAGAGCAGGATTAGCTCTGAGTGGTAGAACTAATGATGCTGAGACCAGATGCAGCATTTTTTTCCCAATCTACTGCCCATGTTCAGCCCATAACCCACAATGGAGACATTTCCCTTTTTCAAAATTGTGTTACTTCCTAAGCCAGCATGAAGTATCTTCTCTCTCTTAACTTCCAAAGTGCATGAATACTCAGTAGCAACAAGAGAAGGCTGGTTTGAAGCTCTCACCGTGACCCTGGGCTAACCTTCATACTGTACCCCTTTGTCTGTTGACACCAATTCACCGACATGGGTTTGTCATTCAAGCTTGTCAGTCCACAAAGGTGGCATACCATGGGTATAAGAGAGGTAACACACTAGTTCTTTCCCTGAAGATCTTTTAACCTCATAAAAATCACATTATAATGATAAGTAATAAAAATGGCCAAATAGCAAAAAAGCCAAAAGTGCAAACTTGAGCCATCTGACAAGACATAAAGACAGGAGTCAGGGGATTGACTGAGTCATAGAACCAGATAGCATCAGTGTTGATGGAGGGGAAAGAAAAGATTTCCTTGTTGGAGAGGTTAGGAAATGCAGTGATTGGGGATCAATATTAGCTTGGATGTTTATATGCAGTGGTAATCCAACAAGCGGAGAACGTGGGCTGAAGAGTTAAAACAGGCCCTTTATTGCTATATTTTAGGGCAGAACACTTATCCTGAGCAAGATACTTAACCCCTCCAAGACTTCATCTGTAAGATAGGAATCACAGGTGTACATATCTAATGGAGTTAGAAGGTATATGAATAGTACGGGGAGTTTTAGCACAGTGCCTGGCAATGCAAGTCCTTAGTAAGTACTGTCGGTCAGTCTTTGGTTTCAGTGTCTCCCATGTTTGCCTTGCCTGAGAGTCTTTTTCAGTGGAGAAAAGCCAACCCCCAAACCTGTGACTTCTGAGATGAGGAGTTCCTAACCTAGGGTTCTGGGCAGAGAGAAGGAAACCAGAAAGTCTGCATGAAGCTGAAGGATGCTTCTCAGTAGCACTCCCCAACATGTACACAGAGAAGCATTTCCTAAGCAAAAGCTCGACAACAAACCTAAAAGGAGCCATTTTGTTCTCAGAAATCAACCTCCTTGTACAGTTTTTGCAGTTCATTGATACTGTGTAAAAACCCATTTGGGGAATTAATTATAGGAAATATTATTTATTTCAGTGTTTAGATTTAGCCAGAAAAAGTGTGTGATGTATGTAAAATTTATAATTTTCAAAGCTTCACATATGAGTGTTTTAGGGATAATGAAGAATTTGGCACATAAGGTGCCCTCTGAATGGTGTTGAATAGTCTTACACTATCTCTTCTCTGTTTCTGTATTGATGCATAATATATCTATATACCTATATCTATTTTTCTATCTATAGATAGATAGAAAGATAGATTTATTACCTAACAATTAAATAGTCAACCTACATCAATACAAAAACAGAAAAGAGATAGTGTGAGACTATAGGTTTGGAAAGATGCACAAGAAACCAAGAAAACATTAACAGTTGTATCTTCTGGGAAGAGTCATGGGGAGACAGGGGCAGAAAGGAGATATACTTTCTGCTTTGTATACAACTTGTAGTCTTTGAATTTTTTTCTATGTATAGGATTCAGTTTTCTGATAAAAGAGAATTTATAGAAAAACTGTAAAAGGGACCATATCACAGGGAAACAGCGAAGACTGGTAGAATCATGAAGTCCAAATCCCGCTTTCTTTGTTGCTTATGGATTACAGATGTTGGAACTTATTAATGGAAACTAAGAGACTTTATCCTCCTTTGTTTTGGGCTCAGGTGTCCTTGGGTCAGCAGATGTCAACTCCCTTTGGAAAAGTGAGCCAGCAGCTATGCAAAACACAGAAGCCTGGCAGGCAAGTTCCTGTCCCCAGCACACCAGGTGTATTGCTTTAGCCCTGAGGATTCTCCCTGCTCCTATTACTTACTGGTCAAGTTGTCAGAGAAACCTGGATGAAGGATAAGTCACTATCCTTTAGCCTTACCAAGGAAATTCCAAATTACACAAGGTTGGGAACATGAATTTGGTTCACTTCAGCCAGGTGGCCAGGGCAGGGCTGCAAGCTGAAAATGCATCCTAAGAACACACAGGCTTCTATTTCTCCAAAGACAGCAGAGGTGGGGCCAAAGATGTGGGAACAGTTCATAAACCAAGAGTGCCACACAAATGAAAGGGTTTGCTTGCTACGGGGGAATGCAAAGGGAGAGGATCTGGCCCCTATAAAGGATTTCTCCCATGAACATCAAAGAATGGACAGGGGGTTGGGCAAGAGGACAAAGGTAGAGCTTGGAATGTTGGCGCTTCCTCAAAGGCACTTTCTTTGCTGAGAATCAAATCCAGAGACTCCAACGATAACGATTCTCATTTTTATGACCGTTTTATTATTGTGGATTGGCTCAGTACTTTTACCCCCAAAGGCATCTGAATGAAGACGAAAAGTGCCAAGTTAATATCTTGAGCAATCTACACCCTCTTTCTGCAACCAAGGTCTTCATAGACAGAGGTGGTGCCAGCTTGCTGGTGGAACAGTACCTCTGTCATGTCATTAGAGCAAGGATCTCTGTCATGTCATTGTAGTGAGGATCAAGACTATTGCAGGGCTGGGCATTTCTGAGTGGAAAATGCAGGGAAAAGTTTTGTTGTTATTGTTTTTGTTGTTGTTAGTGAATCTATCAGCCTATGTCTGTAACAGTTCCCAAGGCAGACTTGTGGTACTGAGTTTTGACTAAGAACACTAGAATTAAAAATACTGTTTTTGGTAAGATTCATTTCAAAGACACTGGCTGAGTTTCAATGAAGGACAATTCTGATTGTAATACAGTATTTCACCACTGTAAGCCCAAACCTGATGTAACTTGTGTAGAAATAGAGCTCATGAAAAATGGAAAAGATAAATTAAACAGAGTATTAAAGGAAATTTAAGTGCTAAAAACTTAGACATTTAAATGATCAAGGCCTTCCTGTTTGGTACCTAACAATAATGATGAGGATGAGGATGATGATGAGTAATTATATGCCAACAGTAATAGAGGCCACAACTTTTTTCAGACAAGAAGGGAAAAGCTAACATTTGTTGAATGTACCTGTTGCTAAGACAGAAGCATCAGCTTGTGGCCTGTGAGCCAGTTTCAATGCTGAAAATTCCTGTATGTCCTCAGAAGGGCCATAAGACATCTGAGAAGTTTGGTCTTAATGTGGATAAAGATAAAACCACTTGCAACAGATTAGGTAATTTCTAGAATAGAGGGAGAAAAAAGGTTTCAGTAGCCTTATGAAATCCAAAAAAAGTGTGAAATAAAAATAAGGAATAGAAATCTTTCATTTCTTCATTCACTAGTCAAATCTGTGCCATGAACTTTGCAAACCAGGATCATTCTATGCTAAGATAAAGAATGTGATCAAGGTGATTATTTGGCCCTCAATCATGATCAACTTATGGGATATTTATCAGATTTGGAAATGAAGAGGGCATATCAAATTTTTAAAAAGAATTCTCATATAGCTAGGCAGCGGAAGTTTGTTGGAAATCTTTATTTAGCTGGTATCTTAGAGCAAGGGATTTTGGAAAGTAGAGAGTTCTGAGACCTTTTATTTATTTGCCTTCAGAGATTCATAAGACTTTTTCTTTCCTATGTGGCACAGCAACCAAATGCTTTGAACTTGAAAGTGAAGGAAAATTTAAAGAACATCGAGCATCTGTCTTTCTTTCTACATATTAGCCAAGTCAAATAAATGTGTGGATGGGACAGTTAACAACTGAAACCTGAATTCATTTCCCAACAACCTCAACTATGTGTGTTGAATAGCTGGAGAGTTGTTTTGTTGTTGTTTTGGTTGAACAAGTCACAATTTCAGAAGCAATTTGCAGATTTATTTGAGCTTGGGATTATATTTAAATTTCTGTAGCTCTTTTTGGAATATAATCTTATATTTGTCTGAATTATGAATAACTGTGGGAGGCAAAGTTTCAAAAAGTACTGATCAAGCTAACGATTTCCATCAAGAAGATACAATATCCCTGGACCTACTACCAAATATTTAGTCCATATCTGTGCAGTGTTTGGGGCCTCTGGGCTTTGAAACAAAGATATTCTCTTCTAGAGCCATTGATCATGGTGTAATTTCTGTCAGAATAAAAATGCTTCTTGCTTGAATGTACCATCCAGTTCTATAGATCAACTCCAGCTTCATCCATTAAATACAAATCTTGGTACAAGATGGGGGGGGGGAGGAAGAAGGAGAAAGAGTAAGAAGAAGAAGGAGAGGAGGGGGATGAGCAGTAGCAGAGGGAGGAGAAGGGAAAGAAAACAGATACTGAGACACAAAGGAATATGGCACTCAATGCATGCAGATAGCCAGCAGATAACTACGCAGCTTATAATCAGTTCTATTTATATGAAATTAAAGTTATACTTATTATAGCTCATTCTACTTTCAGTAAACAAGAGGTAGTCAATTTGCATCAATAGTTATATTGAGCTTATTCTGGCATCTTGTGCTTTCATAAGTGTTTATCAGTTTTACCTCTGGCATTTTATTCTTCATAATTATTTACTCATAACTTCTAGGGTTGTCCCTGACAGTGTTATCTGGTGCACAGATATGCCAACCCCTTTAACCTTGATACCCTTAGTCAGGTTACATTAAATTCAGTTTCTCTATATGCCCCAGTGCCCATTCTTCTTTTCCTATTTAATGACAGAGTCTTGCACACATGTCCAGCTGAAAGACTGATTCCCAATTTCTCTTGCAGCTCAATATGGCTATCTGATTGGCCAGCGAGGACCATGCTATGTAGATCTTTAGGGAGAAGTTACCTAAAGGGAGTTGAGTTGGCCAGGAGGTGTTGGTTTTCTCTTTTCTCTCTTTTGCTGGGGAAAATCATTTTGGACTTTGGAGGTCAAAGTCACATATTAATAAAGAAAGAGCAAAAACTTAGAATCCGGGTCTCTGATACCTCCGATACATCTGACTTATACTTCCTCCTCTGGTTATTTAACATGAGCGAATAAACTCGTGTGTGTGTGTGTGTGTGTGTGTGTGTGTCAATTATTTGTGCTTGTGTGCTTGCATGCAAAGTTTTGTGCAGTTAGCAAACTGTACCAGAGTACTTTTTATCTTGATAAAAATCGACAAGTGATTAGGTCTTATATTGAACTTATGCATTTTATTTATTTACTTATTTATTTATTTCCTTTTTTTTGAGGCAGGGTCTCATGATGTAGTTCAGGCTGGCCTTGAACTCACTATTACCTCAGGCTGGCCTTTAAGATGCGGAGATCCTCCTGTCTCAGCTTCCCAAATGCTAAGATTGTGGGTACATGCCACCATGCTGGGCTCAAATTATGTATTTTTAATGAATAAGATCTATCTTTCCATTTTCTAACTATATTTTATTACTAATAATATTCACATTTTTAATAGTTAATATTAAACAAATTATATGTTAGAACAAATTCTATGTGGTCTATATGGGTTACTACTAATATATCAATTACTAAAGAAAAATACAACATAGATTCCAGCAGAGGACAAAACAGGAGAAACAAATGCCATTACATAAGGCCCGGGAGCAGGTAACACTGGCGTGAAAAGAGAAGAGACAGTTTGGAAGAGGAAACTGCATGAGTAGCAGTATGCAAGCTTGAAGGTAGAGGGCACCATGGGGAGAGGCAAATAGCTTGCAGGGGCTGTAGAGTGGGTGATGATGGGGCTGTGGTGGTTTCAATGCATCCCCCAAAGCTCATGTGTTGCAAACTGAATCCCTGGTGTGACAGTGCTGAGAGGTTGGACCTCTGAGATGTGTTCAGCTCCTGAAGGCTGTGCTCTCATGGATGGACTAATGCCCTTATGGCAGGAGGGTGTAGGTTCTCATGGGAGCTGCTCCTGATAGAAATGAGACATCAGGCCCTCTTCCCCCTCTCATGCATGCTCTCTTGCACTTCTGCCTTTCTCCACTGGATGATGCAGCAAGAAGGCTTTCACCTGATGTGAACCTCTCAACCTTGGTTTCCCAGCCTCCAGGAGTATAAGAAATTGATTTTTTTCTTTATAAATTTTCCAGTCTCAGGTATTCTGTTATAGCAACACAAAAGAGACTAAGACAGGGACACTTTGGGAATTATACCCATAACTTTCAGGGTAGACTATCTTAATTGGACTATCTTACGGAAAGACTTCAGATCTACATTTTATAGGTTAGAAGGCAAAGAGAAGTGGTTTGGGGGTTCAGAGCACTCATGGACAGTAGAATCATTAACAGATGCCCCATTTTTCCCAGTCTATGCCCAACTTTCTCACAAGAGAATTGGCAAGGTTGCCAGTACATTACATTGTTTATGCAGCACTTTATAGGACCAGACTGCTTCTGACTTGTAATTAGACTACATTGGCCTTGAGACTATAGGTGAAAAGATTTATTTTGCTGATTTTCTATACCATAAAATGAGAATTTTAAACTTTACATCCATCATCTTCTTTCCTTGACTTCTCCAGTTCAGTTAGAATTGGCTGGCTCACCCCACAATCCTTGTATTCCTTACGTGATTAAATATGATCTAGAGCGGGTAAACTATACAAGCCGAGGATCAAATCCAGCCCCTGCTTCTCTGTAGAGAAAGTTTAATTAGAACACAGGCATGCTCACTTGTTTATGTATTGTCTGTCACTCCTTTTGTGTTATAATGGCAGAGTTAAGTAGTTTCAACAGATATCATCTGGCCTGCATAGCCTATAATATTTACTACCTATCCCTTCACAGAAAAAGTTTGCTGACCTCTAGTCTAATGCAACAGATGGAAAGCAGAAGTAAATCTCAGAGAAAGTGCCAGCCTCTCACTTTTGCTGAGCCAGCAGAGGCCTGGGCCTTGAGTCAGGACAGCTGCCCCACTTTGTGGTGACCCCACCTTCTGCTTCCTCCCGCCTACAGCTCCCCACCATATACACATGCCGGGAATGAGAACAGAGCAGGAAGCTGGAGATCAGACAACCAGTAATTTTCCTCATAACCTTGTGACCAGATCTGAATCTGGCCGACTCCCTGCACCTCCATGTCCTCACCTGCAGCACAGTCTGCATACTGACAGTAAAGGCCTTGTTGCGTGGATATGAGAAGTGCATGAGAAAAAGTTTCACTGAACTATCAAGAGTAATATTTAATCTGAGGCTCAGTTTTTGGATCACATCAAAACAGGCAGCAGAGAGATCGTATAACTCTGAAACTCAATTTTCCCATGTTCAAAATGGGAATAATAATAGGCATCACCTCTTGAAAGTTGGTATGGGGATTAAATGAGTTAATATAGATAAAGTACTTAGAACAATACCTGGCATATTGTAAGCATCAGATATGTGTTTATTAGACACAAATACCTGTGTCGAGGCTAAGTGGGGCTGATAGTCTGTTTTGTGCTCCTATAACAGAATACTAGAGACTGAGTAATTAATAAAGAATATCAATTGACTTTTCATAGTTCCAGAGGCTGGGAAGTCCAATATCAAGGTGCCAGCATTTGGTGAGGGTCTTCATCCCATGATGAAAGGCAGAAGGACAAGACAGTGCACATAAAAAGCAAGAGATCCACCTTGCAGCCCTTTTATAACCAGCTTAATCTTAATCTATT